TCACAGGACACCAACCTCACACATGGTCACTCTGTGACAGCGCTGAACAAGACAAGGTCATTTCATAATTCTGTGTAAAACACAAAATACCAAACATTCCCTCTCTTAAGTGACCACCGTTTCTTTCCTAAGTACAGCTGTTATGCTTCACTCTAGTCTGCCCTCCTTGTAGGCAAGATTTGTCAACATGCAGAACCATAGTGTTGCTCTCACTTCTAGACAACGCTCGATACAGAGCAAACCTCTTCTCTCTGACACTCTCTTACTGAGTTGTCCTATGGTTCATCCTGGTTTGCATTCTCCCTTGCAGTAATGGGTAATCACTGAACTTTTAAAACTATAGGTATGTTCCCAGTGGTCTTTAGCCAGAGGGATTAACAGGTATTAAACTCTTTTCGCACATGTGGAAAATGATGCTCAGAGAGGTTCTGAAAAATTCCAGGAGCAGCAGGATGAGAAAGTAGATCTTTCTCAAATCTGTCAGGACTATGAAATATATATACTGATATCCACTGCTTCTGTTGAATACCTCTATAGCACCCTTTTCATGCCCCAATGGCAGCCTACCCCAGCACCTGAAAATGCTCCATTATTAGTTTATTCCTTTTGGTTCAAGAAATGACCATTGTATTAAAGTAACATAACCACTGATTCCATTTTTACCCAAATTAACTTATTAGATCATTACTTTTCCAGTCTTGTTGAAAAGTCAATGCAATATGTATGTTCTATAGGGAGGGGTATACATTCCCCAAGCTTAGTGAGTTGCCATAGAGGACAGGCCTTGAGGAGTCACCATGATGAGAAGCTCTGTGAAGCCAAGGTCTGGGCAGCACAGGTTGTCTTAAAGACAGGGGTACTACATGTGAAAGTGAAGAAGCACTACAAAGAAAATTTTTAAACTTGCCATCTCTTCTCTTAGGGTCAACTTCGTATATTTCTTTATAAATTAGGAGAGAACGCTAGGCTGGGAGTTCACAGACCTGGCTTCTAATTCTACCTATAATATCCACTTGATACTTTTTTGACATGATAGTACATTGTCTAAACTCAGTAAAATCATTAGATTGAGTTCTCAAATCCACTTATCTCAAAGGTTCCTTTAAAAATCTATGGTTAGATAAAAGTGATCTTTAAACCATTACATGCTATTTCTAATATTATTCTTATGCCCTCATTTGTTGCTTAACCAACATTTATTGAGCAGCTAACTGTGCTTAAATTTGTGCTAAGTTCTGGGAACATAAAGAATATGGTCTTCACTCTATAGCAGTAGATACACAGAATCCTACTTCTAAGCTTATCTACTTCTAAGCTTTGAGTATTCATCACATAAGCATATTTTGTATAATTGCTGTCGAAAGAATAGAATGTCAAAAGTTTCCAAGATATGTGTCCACATCTATTCGCCTGAGCTGAGTTTTAGAAAACATAATTTGAGTTGAGGAACAACAGCAATTAGTTTCTTTTAAGCTCTAAGAGCCCAGAATAAAGCTCCTACCCACAGAAGCTGCTCAATATATGCAAATAACTGACTGTGTTAAGATATCATGGTTGCATATGTGGTAACACAAATACAAAGAAAGAGAATCAAAATCTAGTTTGCTGACAGGAGTACAGTAGCCAGATTTCCTAATGTTATGAATTTGCAATAGCTAATGATTAGGACACATAAGCTTCACATAACGTCAGTGGGGAACACAACAAAAGAACACAACTCACAAGATGCTGCTTTTCTGAACTTTCAGTGAAATACTTTCTGTCCTTATACAGGTACTTGAAGTTTCCAGTTAGGAATTAAAATTAGGCAGAATGTTTATTCAGTAGGACTCTGGAAATCCTTCTTTGGAAATATGTAAGGAAGTACAGTCAAATTAGGTTAGGTACTATGTTATTTCCCTATTTTTTTCAATTTTGAAGTTGTCTCTTTTCTATTTTAAAAAGATAATCAAGAAAAATATTTTACTCATGATCTCTCTTCTACATGTCTTGCTCTGTACACATCCTCATCCTAGCCAACATACACTTTTTTTCCCCTAGTTTAAAACGGCTACCATAACTGTTATGACAAGTTCCTTACAGGTTATATTAATATTATTCAGGGTCACAAACTTCCCCATTAGCCACTATTCAATGCTTCTACCACTAAACGCTTTTTAAATTTTTTTTTTTTTTTTTTTAGATAGAACACAAATGAGTTAATTAAAGAAAAGTGGGCAGAATCTGGCTACTGTCACTGGCCTGGAACTGAGAGGGTAAGGAAAAGTCAGTTCTCTTAAGGACTGATTTTTCTGTTTCCCTCTGTTTCCTCTGTTAGCCCTGGGCCAGGAAGATGGTAAAACATAGGAACCACCATCAAGTAAAATCCACTAAAGAGCAGCAGAGATGAGGCTGTTTGGGGAACTTATTTGATGTTTCCATGAGTCTCTGAACCTTCAAAGAAGTACCAAAGCAGTGAGTGGGATTTTTAAATCACCTGGTTTAACTCCACCTGACTGAATGGATAAGTCACAGACCCAAGATTTGATGGGAATGAAATACCAAAGTCAAGTCAATTTAAAGTTAACTTTAAATACGCTCTTTTGTATGCCTCACTGGTCAGGCCATGTATAGAGTATATACATTTTTTCTTTTGCTTGAGAGATGGGGGTGGCGAGAATATGTATGTAAGTTGACAGACTGCAGGAAAGGATTAGCAAAATAATAAGGGTCCTAGAAACCTAAAGAAAACTTTTATTTTCAAGTGTTTGAAACACTGTCATATGCAATGGAAGTCAATTTATTACATATTTTATCCAGAGGTAAGATTTGGATTAAAGAACAGAAGTTACAGGAGGCAGAACTTAGTTCAAATTTTAATTTACAAGCTAGAATTTTCCAATGATAAATTTAGCTGTCTACCAAGGCGTTAAATTTTCTCTGAGGTGTTCAAACAGAGATTGAAAGACCATTTTGAGAGGAGAATCAGGGAACGTCCTTAAGTTTACAGGAAGCTGCATTAGCTATACAGTCCTACTGATTTTTCTTAATCTTTTACTCTTTCCTTTGCTTGCAATGTTGGCATACATGGAACTATCTCACACTAGGTGCTACCACTGCAAATTTCTGGCTTAAAGCAATGAACGAGAGAAATTTGTTAAGGGAATAACACAGATTCTGTAGGGATAATTTCGAATTTTATTGATAGTTATTGTGGAAAGTGGTGAAATTGAATTCATATCCTTGCAAACCTCTTTTTGTTCAGTATGAGAGTATGAGTTTTAGTGAAAAAGTAAGGAGGTGTTGTTAAAGAAAATACCTCCTTCCTGGGGCATATATACCCATTCTCATTTTTCTGCACTATTTTTGATTCTTCCAGTTTACATGTGCATTTTGATGAATAACCACAATGAAAAATTTGCCTAATTTATTGACCAATATCCAAGAATACATGCTTTCTTAAGAAATAAAATTAGATTACAAAAATGTTTCTAAAGTTTAATGAATGGGTGGCATCTCTCTTCTCTAATAGACTGAAGAAGAATGAGCTCATTTCTTAGGTATGGCCTCCATCAAATATATAAGACCTCCATAATATATATTTTTTAAGGAATTCAAGCCATTTGTCTCTAGATGGCAATATTTTTCCTGTTTCCTCAAACATCACTGATTTAATATGCTTATTTCTTAAGATGTCTATTTTACAATTCAGGTTTTTAAAACAAGTGGACTGAATTTTAATTGGATTAAGAGACTTTGCAAGTAAATTGGCTGAGTAATATTGATTCAACTCCTCTTCCTTTTTAACAGTTATTCCTAAATATACTTTTAATTTTTCAAACACATACTACTTCTGTTACTAAAAAAAAAATGTATTTATTATGATTAATAGCCTAAATCTAATCTGACTGTGTAGGAAGAATAATAATCAGGTAGAGAAAACTGTAGAATGTGTGTCACTGTTACTACAATAGCCAGCTGTGACAGCATTTCTGATTTAATCTTTATTTTGACATTTTCTTCTGTCCTTTCTCAATTTCAAGCAACTCATGCACCTTACAATGACTGCATTCATATAAACAATAAACAGAAGGGGCAATGTTTAGATACAAAAAAAATATTATTTGCAACTGAAAATTCAAGTTTAAATATATTTTTGACAATTTTTTTAATTATTTAAAGTCAGCAGACATGCTGAAATAAATGTGTCAGTAAAAATCAGTAATATGTACTATAAGTGTGATGTTTTGGCATTTCTGGACCTTATCTAAAATATTAGTAAAAAGAATTTTTTTGGAAGTAGAAAATTTAAGATAACTTGTCATAAAGGTCAATGTGACATGTACCTATTCAAAAGTGTGAAAGTATGAAGAGGCCAGTGATATTTATTGAGCATCAACCTGTGCCAGACTCTTAGCAGAGACTATTTCATGTAGTATTCCCTATAATCCCCCGAGGTAAATTTTAGTATCCCTGTTCATTTGGTGGAGGAAAATAAAGCCCTGAGAAGTTGAAATTATTGTTCAAGGTCACATATCTAGTAACTTAAATTTGTCTTTGACATTCGAACACAAGACATCCCAGGTCCAAGGCCTGTGCAGAGGTTGTAGAAGAACATGGCTCCTTTAAGCAGGCACCAAACAGGCTTGGGAAAGAATTCAAGCTACTGTCATCACAGAAGTGTGCCTTAGCCCATGTTTGAGGAACAAGACTCTACATATTCCCACTTACCACATGGGGCTATTATGAGATAAAAGTGAGATAATAGATTGGAAGTCACTTTAAAGTTTTCCACTCGAGTGCATTTGCACTCCAGGTACTCACTCTGAGGAGTCTAATAGTGCTGAGT